TGAGATTTCATTTTACTCCAGGAAGACTGGCTTTTATCAAGAAATTAAATGGTAACAAATGCTGGCAAGGCTACACTTCCTTCTGCATTATTGCTGGGAATCTGGTATACCCACTTTGGAAAACACTATGGAGATTCCTCAGAAAGCTTGAACTAGAAATTTCTTTGACACATCTATTACATTTCTAGGTATCTTTCCAAGAGTCAAAGATATACTGCTGGGGATGGTGGTACACACCTATAATCCCAACGCTTGGGAAGGGAGGCTGAGGCTGGAGGATCTTGCAGTTCGAAACCAGCCTGGGCTACAAAGTGAGCTCCAGACAAGCCTGAACCGCATAGTGAGATTCTGTCTCAAAAAGGCACACAAACAAAAACAGACGACATACTGCTATGATAACATATTTTCCCATTTTAATAGCAACACAATTCATAATAACTCATGTCAATCAGCAGATAAATGTGTTTATATACAATAGAGCACTAGTCTATCAGGCAGAATAAATCTGAGTTATTTGTAGGAAAATGAATGTATTATGGAATCCATTATGTTAAGTAAATCAGAAACATGGGCTTAAATATGTTAAGCTTCCCTTATATGAGAAACTCAAAGTATAAATAAATTAAAGCAAATTAATTATAGATAATAAGAAATAGAGAAGGGAGTCTCTACTCCTTGGATAGGATTAATATCTAATTTAATAGTAAATGGAAAGGGGACTAGGATTCAGGAAAGATTTGGGAGAGAGGATGGGGATATAAAAAGATTTGGTGTGTCATGGGCATGTTCTGGCTACCCACAATGAATATATTGAAAATGTATTGTAAACATGAACTTACTAAAAAAAAATAAATAAAGATTTGCAGCTCTAGCTTAGTGGAAAGGCCCTGGGTTCAGTCCCTCAGACTGCTCTCCTCCCTGGAAGGTTTACTCCTGGTTAGATTACCACTTTTCCCATATGTGTATTCTAGCACTGATGATGAAGTGTTTATAGGGTGGAGCATTGCAACTCTTTATACCATGCTATTTAATGGTAAGCCTCTTTCCATAGTAGTATATAATTCCATAGGAAAAAAAAATTCCATAGAGCTCTTTATCTAAAACTGGGCCAATTATGTTTGGAGAGTCATTTTGTGAAAGTGTTACCAACATAGATTATGTAGGTATCTTTGAAACTGAGCTTTTAAAATAATAGCATGATTTTGTTTTCCTGAACATAGTGATAAAAATGAATAAGGTACAACTTTTCTTGAGATGGTTTTCAAGAACTTCATGTTAACTTTTGTTTTCTTTCAGAGAAAATTTATCAAAGGATCTTTACTTAATATCTCAAATGGATAGTGACCAGTTCGTCCCAATATGGACAGTTGCCAACATGGAAGAAATAAAAAAGTTGACTACAGATCCTGATCTAATTCTTGAAGTGTTGAGATGTATGTAAATAATACCTTCTTTTGGGGGGAGGTAACCAGGAATTGAACTCAGAACTTTGTACTTGCCAGGCAGGCAGTGATTGTGTTTAAATATTTAAGAAGTTAAGTATTCTCTGGATTTCTCATGATTTGAGAGGCTTTAATGGTTCTGTGTTGTTCTAGTAATTCCCCCCCCCCCCCCCCCCGGGGTTTTTTTTTTTTTTTTTTTTTTTTTTTTTTCTTTCCCCCGGGAATGGGTTTGAGGGAATTGCTTCCCTTTTTTTTTTTTTTTTTTTTTTTTTTTTTTTTTCCTTTCCCCCGGAACCGGGGACTGAACTCAGATCCTTGTGCTTGCCAGGCAAGCACTTACTCTACTGAGCCATCTCCCCAGCCCTAGTAATTTGTTTTTGCTGTTTGCCGGTCTGTGTGTGTGTACGTGTGCACATACTTGTTCTTGCATGCAATCCATGTGTTCAACTCCTATATCAATTGTGTATTATGCTCACTAAGCTTGATGTTCAATTAGGAAGTGTAAACAATGAAATCTCTCTCTTTTTTTTAATCTTAAATGGGTTTCACAATCTATGAGTTGTAACTACAATTTGATAAGCACTTCTGAAGTTTGGTAAAGACTTGATACTTCTAGGGGCTGGGGAAATAGCTCAGCAGCTTAAGTGCCTTCCTAGTAAGCACAAGATCCCCAGTCCAGTACCACAAAAAATTGATATTGTTGGTGGGCTTGGTAGCACATGCCTATAATCCAAGTATTCTGGGAAGCTGTTAAAAGAAAATCACAAATTCAAGCCCAGCCTAGGCAATAAATAACCTACAGAGCCCTTATCTTAAAAAATGAACAGGAAGGGGCTGGTATGAAGGGCTTAGGTAGAGTCCTAGGTACCATAAACTATGTTACCTAGTTAGGCTCTTAAGACTTTTTAATGATGTCTGTGTTTTCATATTAATATTTCTTGGCAACTTCCCAAGTTTATTAATAAACTACTTGACTGAATAAAGGAGATCTTTTATATGGGGTCTGTTCAGAATGTTTCAAAGTTAATGGAGCCTGTGGTGCCGGCCCTGCGCTCCCCCCCCCCAGACAATGGAGACTGGGCGTGGTAGTGCACACCTGCAATCCCAGCACTTGGAGGGCTGTAAACAGGAGGATCACTACAAGTCTGATCTGTGCAGTGAGACCCTGTAGACCCTGTCTACCCTGTCTTAAATACAAAAAAAAAAAAAAAAAGAAAATTAAATACAGTAAGTACCATAGCCCTATATGGGAATGTTAAGTTTGTATAGACTTGTTTGTTTGTTTGTTTGTTTGCTTGTTTGATTGTTGGAAACAGGGTCTTGCTATGCAGTTCAGGCTGGCCTTGAGCTCAGTTTATAGCCCAGGCTGGTCTCAAACTTAGTGATCCTCCTGCCTCAGATTACAGGTGTACACCACCATGCCCAGCATAAAATGTCCCAGTCTTGTCTACAAAGAAAATTGGCAGACAAGCAAAATACTTTCTCTTACTTAGATTGGAACCAAGCACTTATACCACCCTTTACCCTTCATTGCTTTTTAAAATCTGCTTACTTCAGGGAAATGTGACATATTCTTACTCTGAAGGAACTAGAAATAAGTTTGGCTATGTAAAAGTACCCGTTTCTACTCTTTCCTCAAAATCAGCATCCAAAATCTGACTTTTGGCTCTTGGTTGGAATATATAAAAGTAAATATATTACTTTAAAAAGAGGCACCATATGGGCCAACAATATAGCTCAGTGCCTGCCCAGGCAAGTGCAAGGACCCAGTTTCGATTCCCCAGTACTGTAAGCTATGCTAGCCATGGAAAACCAGAGGTGATGGCACACACCTATAATCCCAGTGCTAAGAAGGCTGAAACAGGAGGATTGCTATGAGTCTGAGCTGTGTAGCAAAGCGCAGTACCAAATATATAAATTTTTTTTAAAAGGTACCATATGAAGTTATAATGTAACATATGCTCCCTGGCAGCTTCTTTTCAGCCTCAAGACAGTGCTGACTCAAAGTATGTACCTGAATATTTGCTCAGTGCATAACCTCTGAGGATATTTGTGTATAAACTTTGGATTTTTTTTATGATCATTGGCCTATTAGTCACTGGTAATTTATTCAGTTAAAAATTAAAATATTCTTTGGTGACATTATTAATATCACTGCCTTATCACTTTTAAATGAGACCTTTTTTTAAAAATTTCAGCATCTCCAATGGTACAAGTTGATGAGAAAGGCGAGAAAGTGAGGCCGAGTCATAAACGTTGCATTGTGATTCTCAGAGAGATTCCTGAAACAACACCAGTAGAGGTAAACTGTTCGTCACTGTTAAAGTGAAATGCTCTGTAACTAAACTGGAGAAGTTACACAAGTGAAGTATAATTCTGACTTCGTATCATTTATTCTCAACATAATATTTTAGCAATGGGGCCCGGCAAGATAGCTCAATGGTCTAAAGTGCCTGCTTAGGCAAGCTTAGGCAAGCACAGGGACCATAGTTCAATCCCTAGCACCACATGCTGCACCAGCCCTGCCCCTGGGGCGGGCGCTGAGCCACAGGGGAAGGGGGAAAATATTATAGTATAGTTTTGTTAAGGCTAGTTATTTTTAAAGAGATTAATGAAATAACCTTACTGATTAGTGAAACAAAACAAATGTGCATTCATAAAAATGGCATGGTACTTGCTTAAGAATAAAGTAGTGGGGCCAGGGAGTTGGCTCAGTGGAATAAGCGCTTCCCTGGCAAGTGCAAGAGCCTGAGTTCAATCCCCGGTTCTGCAAAAAAAAAAAAAAAAAAAAAAGAATAAAGTAGTAATTGGATGAAACACTATAATCCAGAAGCGCAGTCTCCTATAATTATGCATGATCATATTTAAAATTTAGATTCTTGGGCCAGGCTTATAGCTCAGTAGTACAAGAACCTACTTGGCAAGCAAAAGGTCCTGAGTTCAATTCCCAGTACCCCCTCAAAAAATAATAATAATTAGATTCTACCAGCTGTTGCTTACTTTATAGTTTACAGTCTTTTAAAGCCAAACATCTGTTTACAACAAAGAATCTGGGTCTTTGGATGGTTAAATAACTTGGCTCAACAGTAAATGGACTGTTAATTGACACAGTCTACTTTGTGCCTTTGCTTCCATTTATTCTTGAGACACTTCTGCCAGCCCAGTATAGAAGAGGTATGGGTGCCCGGGGCCTGCTTAACGGCACATAGCCTGATACGATGGGAAGCCTGACATGATGGGATGCCTGACAGGGAAGGTGGTGCTGCTGCTGCATGGGGTCCATGAGGGGTCTGGTAGAAGTGACCTTGGAGTAGGGTAGCAGAGGACAGTGGACTGTTGTCTAGGCAGAGGAGGTGATCCATGCTCAGGCACGGATTATGTGGCTCATCCATTGCAATCCAGATGTGCTGACCCCAGTGACTGCCCCAAATGTGGGTAACTCGACTGTGTAATTTGTGGTAGTGGGGGACTGTGTTTGCACTTTCCCCTAAAAAAATAAAAAAGATCTGCCATCCAGGAAAAAAAAAAATTGACACAGTCTAGATTTTTTTTCAATTTTTAATTTTTTTACAGTCTAGATTTAAACACACTCTCCAAATATGAAGCCCGTGTTTCTTTTCTTTATTTTTTCTATTTTCTTGTCTTGTCTTTTTCTTTTTGTCTTTTTGAGACAGGGTCTCACTATGCAGGTCAGGCTGGCCTTACATATCAGCCTCCCAAGTGCTGGGACCATAAGTGTGTGCCACCACACTGACTAAAAGCCCATGTTTCTTAACCACTGTGCCTCAGAGATTTGCTCTGAATTGCCAGGTTAAGTCATTGTAAATTTTAAAAGTTAAAATTTTTCAGTAACTTACTTGTAATTTATTACCTATTGAAAAAAGAATTTTTAAACCCTTGCCAGATGACAAAATGTCTTAGTTAATCATTTTGCCCAGTCATTCAGCATTAAATCTTTAAATAAGGGGTCAGAGAGATTACTCAGTAGAATAAGCGCTTCCCTGGTAAGTGCAAGGGCCTGAGTTCCATCCCTGGTTCCACAAAAAAAAGAAAGAAAGAAAAAAATCTCTAAATGAAAGTTTGTCAAATTTGGAATCAGTGAGATAAATTAGAAAATAAATCATCCCAAGATCTTTGATTTTTGAACTGCATGTCAAAAGTAAACTAAGGCCTTTCTACTGAAAAATTTCTCTATCCTTTTTAATTTTTTCTTCCTAGTTAAGCTACTGAATTGCCCAGGCTGGACTCACACTTGTAATCTTCTTGTCTCAGCCTCCAAGAGTGTTGGGATTATGACCAAGCCATCCCTCCGCACACCCAGCTTTTGGGGCTTGTTTTTACTAATGGCAGACTAGACAGGGAAAGGAGAGGAGATTTTAGTATAAAGAAAATTTAGCTTGCCACCAGAAGCGAAAAACTTGTTCTGCTGATAATAAAATAAAATTTTTCCATCCTTAAATTTTAAAATATAGTGTATTTTGTTCAGAATAATTAGCACATGAAGAAATAGGACTAAAAGACACAGAACTGCTTATCTTCCCCATAAACAAATAAAGGCCCATTATTTCTGGGTGTGGTGGTACACACCTGTAATCCCAGCACTGGGAGGCTGAGACAAGTGGATCATTGTGAGTTGGAGACCAGCCTGAGCCAACCTGAACTGCATGGCAAGACTCTCTTTAATTTTAAAAAAAGCACATTACTGTTATTTTTTAAAGTTGTCTATAAATTGTCTTTTTTAGGAGGTGAAAGCTTTGTTCAAAAATGAAAACTGCCCCAAAGTGATAAGCTGTGAGTTTGCACACAACAGCAACTGGTACATCACCTTCCAGTCAGACACTGATGCACAACAGGTGAGAAGTTTTTTCTTCTACTATAAGTCTTAGTTACAAAAGTCAGTATATTTTAATTAAAATGTTTGCTTACTCTAATGTTATGAAGGCTACTGGGCACATTGGTCACCTTTTTTCTTTTGCTTAATTGGTTTCCTTTTTTGATTATCTTCATAAAAATCTCTTGGTTTTAATTTAAGAAGAACCTCCAGTCAATAAAAAAGTTAACACACACTGTTAAAATTCATATGAATGGGGCCGGGGATATGGCTCAATGGAATAAGTGCTTCCCTGGCAAGCACAAGGGCCTGAGTTCAATCCCTGGTTCCGGAAAAAAAAAAAAAAAAAAATTCATATGAATGGACTGGGCATGGTGGTGCACACCTGTAGCACTTGAGAGGCTGAGGCAGGAGGATTGCCACAAGCTGGAGGCCAGTCTGGCCTACATCGTAAGTTCAGGAGCCACCTGAACTACTGTGAGACCCTCTCTCCAAAAAACAACAAAATTAATGTGGATATTGAAAACCATATACTGAATGGTACTTCTACTACACAGTAGATCTACAATTTTCTAAAAAATTCTGCAAGTTTTGATTGAATGGTTTTATTAATAAGTCCTCCTTAAAACAGAAATATGTACTTTAAACAAATAATAGTACAAATTGACAGATTTTTATTGTTCTTTAATATGTCTTATAAATTTCTCTAAATTGGGCTGGGGAGATGGCTCAGTGGAATAAGCGCTTCCCTGGAGAGCGCAAGGGCCTGAGTTCAATCCCTGGTTCTGCCAAAAAAGAAAAAAAAAAGAAATTCTTCTGAATCATATATCTACTGTGGTTTTAGGTCTGCTTTCAGTCTTGCATATTTTATCTGTAGTAATCTATATGTGTGAATTTTAGCTGAGAATGTTTTAATTTTTAATTTACTTTTCATTCTGTCAACTTAAGGATTTTTTTTAAAGAAATAATTGGTAGTTCCAGACTCTTGATAAGTAAAGGTGGCTTTAATGAAATGTCTATTTAGATACTAATGAAAGTTCTTTCTGCTTTAACAGGCATTTAAATACTTGCGAGAAGAAGTGAAAACATTTCAGGGCAAGCCAATCATGGTAAGAAACCTTTCTCCATACAGAGAAGGGTAGTGAAGCAAAGCTTAGGTTTTTGCTTTTTTGCTATTTAAGAAAACACAAATAGGCAATGTTTTATAGGCCTGTAGTAATTTTAAAGACATCTGTGTGGGGCTGGGGAGATGGCTGAGTTTAATAAGCGCAAGGGTCTGAGGTCAATCCATGGTAATGCAGAAAAAAAAAAAGATAAAAAAGATAAAGTTTAAACCTATCAACCTCGGGGAAAAAAAAAAAGAAATTCTACAGAATTTCATTAAACAAAATAATAGGAATTAAAAAAAAAAAGACATTTGTGGCTTGTGTTGTATGTTATTTCAAAAAATTAGCTGATAGGCATTAAGATATTTTGTATATGGTAGTTCTTTCCAAATAACTATAGCATTTATTTGGTAGTTCGCAACTTATATTTCCAAATCTCAAAATGAACATTAGATATCATTTTTTAATAACATAAGTAGAAAACAATCTTAGAACCTTCAACTTCATCTGTGTTAACTGCATTTCCACGTTAACATCCAGCCATTGGGATCACTGATGATACTTGCTCACTGTCTTTCAGTGGCTGATCTGTTCACAGTTCTCATGTATCTTTCAAACTTCTTTCCATCATTGTTGCTTACCTTTCTTAGGTTTGAATAATTGAAATAGCATCATAACTGCTAAGTGTTCAGCTTTTCCATTCTCCACATTGCCACATTGCCACCAGTTATTTCTAAACTGAAATAACATACTTTTTTTTTCTTTTCACATGGTCCTCATTCTGCATGTGATAATAGCTATTCTCAGCATTGCTTATAAGTGTAATACATTGTTCTAACTCCTCTCTGTTGTGTTCATAACACTTTACATATGTTAATTTCATCCTTTTAAGAAGGTGAGATAGGTACTCTGGTTTTCCATTTCTTCTAGTAAATCAAAAGAGAATAATTTACCTGGTTTCATAGAACTAGTAATGTTACGTTTATTAAGAGGTATGTGTAAGGCACTGTTCTAAAATTGACACATTTATATTACTTGGTTTTTGTTTTGCCTTTTTGAGACAGAGTCTCCTTATGCAGCTCAGGCTGGCCTTTAGCTCACTTCTTAGCCCAGACTGGTCTCAAATTCAGCAGTCTTCCTGTCTTAGCCTCCTGAGTGCTGGGATTACAGGCATGTGCCACCACATCCCTTATTCCTTTTTGGGAGAGTACTGGGGATCAAATTCAGAACCTTGTGCTTGCCAGGCAGGTGCTTATGGTACTGAGCTATCTCCCCAGCCTTTTCTGTGTATTTATTTTTTAGGTTTGTCTTGCCTGTTCTGAGACCATTACTTTTTCATACAGATTTTACAATGTTAGTTGGCTGTGGTGACACACATCTCTAATCCCAGCACTCAAGAGTGAGGCCTTGCCAGAGTTCAAGGCCAGCCTGCACTACATAGTGAGAACCTGCCTTGCAATAAAACAAAAGTACAACAAATTTCAGAATGTTTGTCTAGTGTCAACAAAACCAAACAAAAACCATATTCAGATTAATAGAATTGTAAATATTGCTTAAACTGATTATAAACAGCACTTTTATTCTAAATATACTTATATTTGTGAATAGTATTTCAGTACTAGTACAGATCTGTTTATAATTACCTTCTTAAAGTAATTTTTGGATACCTTAGTTTGATGTGGCTTTTTCTGTTTTTTGTTTTTTTTTAAATTTTTATTTATTTATGTGGGGGGGCAGCTCAGCCCACCAGGGGGCGGGGCTGGCTGGCATGTGGTGCTGGGGGATTGAACCGCGGT